ATATCCGTAAAATAAGAATAATGATTAGTGTGTCCTGCATTGAGATGTGTCAGGATTTGGGGGGAAATGAATGAATGGGGAGAAGCTGGAGGCTAGAGAGACTTGTGCCCTAGAGACTCCCATTTTTTGTGCACCTGGCAACTGCCCCATCTTTCAAACATAGAATGGAAACCCAATGACCAGCACCTCCACTGAAATACTTGGCAGAATTTTCCTTTGGTCCTCTTGGTCAAGATTAGGCAGGATATTAGGGCAGGCTCACTGCCCTTGGTTCCTACACTGCTTCTTTCTTCATGCATTACAGCGGGGGGCCTCCTGTTTCTGGCAAGCATTGAGCAAAGAGCCCTGCTTAATGCCCAGGGGACTTCAGCTTTTGACTTTGATATTCCGTTTGTATCTTTGTTTCTATTTTCTTAATTTCTGCTCTTCCCCTTCTCATTCTGTTTTCTTTGCATTTATTCTATGGTTTCTTTTCTAAACTTTTACTCAGGACACTTTGCTCATGCCTTTGCAGCTTTTCCCTATTCTAAAGCACACTTAAGACTACTCATGGGCCTTGTTTGTTGTGAGCCCAGCCAGATATTCAATGTGTGCTTCACTCTACATCTGGTTGTCTTGCAGAGGGAGTGCTCTTCAAAATGTCTAGGCTGGGGGTGCCTGGGTGGCTCAGTTGGTTAAGCGACTGCCCTCGGCTCAGGTCATGATCTCAGGGTCCTGGGATCAAGTCCCGCATCGGGCTCCCTGCTTGGCGGGAAGCCTGCTTCTCCCTTTCCCACTCCCCCTCTTGTGTTCCCTCTCTTGCTGTGTCTCTCTCTCTGTCAAATAAATAAATAAAATCTTAAAAAAAAAAAAAAAATGTCCAGGCTGCTGTTCAGCCAGGATTGCTTTTTTTTTTTTTTTTTAAGATTTTATTTATTTATTTGAGAGAGAGGGAGAGTGAGAGGGAGAAGCAGACTCCCCACTGAGCAGAAAGCCCAACTGGGGCTGGATCCCAGGACCCTGAGACCATGACCTGAGCCACCCAGGTGCCCCACGAGATTGCTTTGCTTTTCAAATAGATCCTGCTCAAAGTCCACTTGAGCTACAGGGAGATCACAGGAAGATCAGTCACCCCTCCTTGCCCACCCTTGTGGGGCGGCAGCCCCCTCTCTGCTCTCCAGCAGGGGCTGAGCCAGCCAGCCCCTTAACTTTTCTTGGCAGTAGTCTGACTCTAGTCTATAATCTCAAGGTTCAGAAGTCAGCCCTCCACCTTCGCCATGACTCTAAAATAGGCTTCCCTGGGCAGGAGCTGGAGGAAGCAGCTCCCTCTCACTCTGTTCCTAGTGGGGATAATTCATAGATAGAAGGGGAGAGGCTCTGGTCAGGGAAGGGAAGGACCCCAAGGCCCTTGAATACTTGGCAAGACCCTTTGGGAGGCCTCTTTCCCACTGCTCCTAATATGGCACAAGCCTCCCACCCCCCCCAACAGGGACCGCTTGGTGTGCACTTGGGAGCCTGTGGGGACCCTTAGCCATGCAAGAAGGGGAGCATCGTGAGGCAGAACAAGGAGGAGACACCAGGAGAAGGCCAAGGCTCCCACACGCAGCCACAGCACCTTCCAGGGCACCCAGAAGCCCTGCCTGGGACAGAGCAGAGCTTTGATACCCCTCCCCTGGGGAGGCTAGGAGCTCTCTGAGCAGCCCGGCTGCAGCTGCCCACACAGGCCAGGCCACCCAGAACCCTGGGCCCCTCCTGAAATGAACCCACGTCCCTTTGTGAGCAGATCTGTGGTGTGGGGCATACAACAGGTGGGGCCCCGGGTGTGGGAGGAAAGGGTCTGTATGGATCGAGGGGGCTATGGCAGACTGAAAAATGGCACCCCAAAGATATGTGCATGTCCTAGTTCCTGGAACCTGTAAATACAGCTTTATTGGGAAAAGGAGTTTTTGCAGATGTGATTAAGTTCAAGATTTTTTTGTCCTTATTACTACTTTTTAAAAATGTCTTAATGGTGGGCGCCTGGGTGGCTCAGTTGGTTAAGCGACTGCCTTCGGCTCAGGTCATGATCCTGGAGTCCCGGGATCGAGTCCCGCATCGGGCTCCCTGCTTGGCGGGGAGTCTGCTTCTCCCTCTGACCCTCCTCCCTCTCATGCTCTCTGTCTCTCATTCTCTCTGTCTCAAATAAGTAAAATCTTAAAAAAAAAAAATGTCTTAATGGTTAATGTACTAATATCTGATTTTCAAAGTGTATAAATTAAATGTGTACGTTACTCTCTCCAAAAGCAGACAAAACAAGCTATTTTTTTCTTGGTATGGCCCAGATTTTTTTCCTTTCTTGAAGACTGACAACGTTCTAATTCCTGATTCATTATCTGACAGAGTGCATTCGGTTTTCAAATTTCTAAGAGAAGAAGAAAATTATTCTCACACTCACCAGTATTTTAATAGTAGAAGGCAAATGTTCAAAACTAATGATTGGTCTTTCCCTTCGTTTTCTTCTCCTTTTTTTCCTCTCCTTTCTTTGCCTCTTGTTATTCCACCTTTTAAGTGAGTTGCGATTTTGACAGGAGGAGGGCATCCCAGATGACCCGGGTGGGCCATGCATGTCATCACAAGTGTGAGATCACACACACAGAGAGGAGAAGGGAAGGTGAAGGCAGATGTTGTAGCAGTGGGGCCACAAGCCGAGGAATGCCAGCAGCCACCAGAAGCTAGGAGAGGCGAGGAACAATCACCTAGAACATCCGGAGGGAGTGTGGCCTTGCCCAGACCTTGATTTTGGCACAGTGAACTTCTGATTTTTGACTTTTGGCCTTCAGAATGTGTTAATTTAAGCCAAAGGTTTGTGGTGATTTGTTGCAGTAATTTGATGATTTGGGAAATAAACAGCCTATCCAGAAGATGCTAAAAGTAGGAAATTCACTGTTCGGAGAGGATGCTCTGGAGAGGTCAAGGGTATGGCTGAGTCAAGGGACCTAAGGACGTGGAGGAAGAGGTGGCCCAAGACAGGGGTCTCCAGAGGGGTGGGGGAGGGGGAGGTGGCCCAGGATGGGGGGATCCAGCAGTGTGGGGAGGTAGCTATCTCAGTCAACAGGAATTTATTTCTCATGTGCATCTTGGGGAATATAGTCCATGATATCGCACGCGACCGAAGGTAGATACACTTGTGGGAGGCAAAGCATCACTAGAAGTTGAATCACTATGTCGTACACCTGAAACTCATGTAACATTGTGTGTCAACTATACTCAAATAAAAAAGAATTGTTTTAATTTATTTCTCACAGTTCTGGAGGCTGGGAAGTCCAAGGTCAAGGCACTGGCAGATTCAGTGTCTGGTGAGTGCCTGGTTCCTGGTTCATAGGTGGCTGCCTTCTCACTGTCCTTACGAGGTGGAAAGGGTGAGGGAGGTCTCTGGGGTCTCTTATAAAGACACTAATCCCATTCACAAGGGCTGCACCCTCATTATCTAATCACCTCCCAAAGGTCTCCCCCTCCAAATACTACTGCATGAGGATCAGCTTTCAACATAGGAATGGGGGGCGGGTATGACACAAGCATTCATGCCAGGGCTCAGGGACCAAGGTGTATGGGCAGAGAACAAGGAGCCATGGGACAGTCCAGTCCTGGCAGACCCGGCTAAGCAATTAGGGAGGGACGCTTGCAGCTGCACTGACCTGGGGGGAGGCCAGTGCCCACCCAAAACCTGAAGGACCCTGGGCCCAGAGAAAGCCACCCACACCTGTGCCCTGTATCCTCTGGCCTCTGCAGAGGGTTTGGTGCATGTTCTCGGCATTTCCTCCACCCCTGCACATAGAAGCCGCGTGCAGCTTGCGTGAAGTGGGTGGACATCTTGACCTTACCCTCCCCCCACAGCCCTGCAGAACTCCTCCCTTCCTAAGACCCAATGCAGCGGGCACACCCAGCTGGTCCCCTCCCCTCCAGCTCCAAACAGCCCAGCACCCACATCTTGTTGGCTAGGATTGGCCACAGCTTGGCCTGATCTCTGCGGTAGCCATGGCCATGACCGTCCTTGGATCCCCACAAAGTATGGCTGGGACACAGCACGCTGCTTAGCCTCAAATCCGTGGACAGGCCTCGTCCCCTTCACTCTGACCCCTCCCTCGGCTCCTGGGCTGGGTCAGCAGAGGGGCGAGGCAGCTAGGTAAGGAAGGGGCGATGAGGTGGCTATCACCAGCTGTCAGCTGAGGCTGAGCCCACGCAAAGATAAGAACAGACAGATAAGGCCGGTGGGCCCGAGACAGGCCTGGAGTCAGCACCACAAGAAGACTGGGTTTGCTCAGAAACTCCGAGATGGCCTCAGGTAGAGACGCCGCCCCCTGTGTGTGCCTGGCTTCTGTTAAACAACACAAATTCAGCTGAGTAATTTAAAACATCAAATTGGTTTTATTGAATGAGTCATGAATCAGGCAGCGTCCCATCTAGCAAATAGAACGGAGCTTTGTTGAGCTGCAGAAAAGAAAAGGTTTTTAAAGGTAGAGAAGGAACAGGAAAAAGGAAACTATTATCAAAGAGTCCGTTGTTTTAGGCAAGGTCACCCTTTTTTTTTTAAAGATTTTATTTATTTATTTGACAGAGAGAGACACAGCGAGAGAGGGAACACAAGCAGGGGGAGTGGGAGAGGGAGAAGCAGGCTTCCCGCCAAGCAGGGAGCCCGACGCGGGTCTCGATCCCAGGACCCTGGGACCATGACCCGAGCTGAAGGCAGACGCTCAACCATCTGAGCCACCCAGGTGCCCCCAAGGTCACCCTTCTAAGGGAAATGGAAGGGGCTCCCCGTAAATTTCGTGGTGCTGGTCAAAGGTTACACTGGGGGAGGGCGGTGCAGGGGGGCTGAAACTGCAATTGGGGTAGGCATTAGGTTTTGGCTTGCTGATGTAGGGCCCTTAACATAAGTGAATCCATTTGGGGCCTGTGGTTTTCTTTTCAACACCTCACAGCATCTGCAACGCAGCTGTCTTTACAGAAGGGAAAACTGGCAGGGGTGGGGTGGGCTGGGCTGGGCAAGGGTGGGCAGCACCTCGGGGGTCAGGATTCTACCAAGGGCCCCTGAGCCAGGCCTTCTCCCTTCTTGCAACTGGCCCTGGTTTTCTCAGGCTGCAGACCTGGCCCTAATTCCTCCCCACTCCGTACCCTGGTGAGCAGGGGCTGGGGGATTCGTACCAAAGGAGCATTGGCCACTCTACCTCATGACTGTTCAAATCTAGAATATTCTGTCCAGTGACAGAGAGGCACTGCCTCTCCCTAGTTAGGGACACTGCTCCGTCCCTACTGGGGCTCCATCTGTCAGTCACCCTCCTATCCAGCAGTCACTGCAAACTTAAGGTCAGAGAGGGAAGCAGAGGTGGAGCTCCTGGGGCTGTGAGTGGTGATGAGAGGGGTGAGAGGTGGCCACTGGCACCTTCAGAGGGCACGTGGGCTTTGGTGGCAACATCATTCCTCCAAAGTTTGCTCATCCTCACTTCCTGCTCTTTCATCACCCTGACAGGCCTGAGAGGGCGGGGGTCCTCTGGGGGACTTTCTGGCGTCAGGGAGGTAGAGGCTGCCCCCACCCCCCATCTCAGGACCCCCAGAGTCCCTTCCCTCAGGGCCTACCAGCCAAAGCCCAGACGAGGGGAGCTGGTTCCCCTGTAGCAAGTAGAAGAGCCAATGAGGCCCCGGAAGTCATCAGAGGCCAGTGAGCCCTCAGTTCCGCCTCAGGTCAGGCGGCTCTCCTGGTGACTTCTAGGAGACACTGCCCAGGGGCTGGGACCCTTCACTGCCTCCCATGGACAACCAGGCTCCCATGAGGAAACCGCTTCCCTCCAGGACAAAGCTGGGATCAGCCATGACAGAAACACTTCCGGGGGCCCAGGTGTAGGCCGCTGGGCTCCACAGCCCAAGACTGTGGCCAGAGACAGCAAATGGTGTCAGTGCTGCCTCATGGATGAGGCTGAGTCCTTGCACTCACTGTGACCCAAAGTACCTGGTGTCCAGAGCAGCAGGGTAGAGAGCCCCGCTCTGGGCCCCAGCCCCCCAGCCTGCTTCACCCAGTGCATGGGCATGTCCTTCATTGTCTCCCGACCAGGATGGAGCTGGGACTGCGTATTCAGAGCTCTGATTTGTCAAACTGTCTCATTTGTGGCTGGGAGGCCCAGCTTGGGGTCTCTGTCCACGGGGCCCACAGGAGGGGCCGAGTCCCTTAGGGGTCAGCTGAGGTCTGGATCCACTCCTGCTGGTGGGCTGTGGAGGAGGGGAGGAACACTGCCGATAGGCCTTCACTGGGGGAAGGGTATCTCACCCTGGGCCAGGGCCTGGTGTGGGGTCCCTGGGTGGAGGCCAGGATCTGGGCTCCATGAGCACAGGGCACATACTCTGTCCTTCCCTGCCAGGAAGGTCCACTTTCAGCTGCCTCCCGTTTCCTGGAGGGAACCAGGAGGTAGTGATGAGGTTTTGGAATATAAGTGAGGTTCGGTGGGGTGAGGTCCAGAGCCGACGACCAAGAAAGAATTTTTTTTTTTTTAAGATTTTATTTATTTATTTGACAGAGAGAGACACAGCGAGAGAGGGAACACAAGCAGGGGGAGTGGGAGAGGGAGAAGCAGGCCTCTCGCCGAGCAGGGAGCCTGACGCGGGGCTCGATCCCAGGGCTCGATCCCAGGACTCCGGGACCATGACCTGAGCTGAAGGCAGACGCTTAACCAACCGAGCCACCCAGGCGCCCCGGTTATAAGGACATTTAATTGTATCTGCATTTCCTTCTGGAAGCTAGGTTATTGATAGAAATGCTTTGTTCTTGTAGATTGCTAAGACATTTGTAAACTGAGGGAGACTCGTGTCTTGCAGGATTGTGATCTCTAGAAGTTAACTATTTGTTTTTCCTTTCCTTAGCTTTAGGGCAGCCAGGAGTGCCTGAGGAATGTCACATATATCCCATGGGTGGGGGGGTTGTGGGGTGTCAGTTTCTGCTTTGTCCTCAGCTTGCCTTCTGTTCCCTCATCAGTAGCCCATACTCTGTTGGTGCGAAGCGTTGTCTGCCTTCATCGGGTGCAGGAAGGGGGCCTCTCCGCATTTACCCCACCCTGGGCTTGGGCTGAGCAGAGGCTCCTAGAGATCAGGGATGACAACTTGTCCAGATTGGAGACGATGGACCACACACAAAGGAGTCCTTGTCCCTGCCAGAGATGTGGAGGTCCGGGGAATGCCCCCTCCCCCCCTCCCTGGCCTTCGGGCCCCTCATCTTGCATAATCCTGACCTGGGGGAAAGGGACCGAGAGCTTGCCAAATGTTTCAGCCTGAGTTGCTGGCAATTGCCTCACCTTTCCTGGATTTGGCAAAGGATAAATTCGCTCCACCCTGGAGTGAGCCATTGGCCAGGGGACCATAAATAGGGTCCCCCAGGGGCAGCCTTCTCACTAGCTTCTCCTCTTCAGCTGCCATCTGGCACACCAGTTTTCCTAAGCCCTGAAGTCATGGCCCGAGGCCTCCTGTGGCTGGGCCTTGTCCTGCTGGGGGCCCTGCAGGCTCAGGCCCAGGACTCTCCCCCAGAGTTGATCCCAGCCCCATTTCTGACCAAGATCCCCCTGCAGCCTGACTTCCAGGATGACCAGGTAAGGGGCCTGGAGGGGCAGAGTATGAACAGAGGGTGGGAGAGACAGAGTCTTAGGGAGAGTGTCAGGGCAGGATGGGCTCAGGCTTCAGCTCAGCCTGTCCCTGGGCCCCCTGATGGAAGGCACACCCCATGGCCCCATCTCCACCCCAACTTTGCTGACAAGAGGGTCACTTGAGCACAACTTCCCAGGCCCACAATCCCTTCCATAATCCCCACAGTTCTTGCAAGGTGGGAACATCTTCAGGCCTCCTGCATGATGAGGAAACAGGATCAGGGACTTCAGCTGGCCACTTGCCGAGGGTCATCCTGTCCCTACCAGACTCAGGGCTCTCTCCTGGCCTGGTGGCCCCCAGCTCCTGCGGCTGCATCGGCGCAAGCCTGTGTGGCCAGTCGGGGTCCCTGCTGCCCGGTTAGAGGAGCTCCTGGTTCCTGGTCAGGCTGCCTAGAGGTACCTGCAGGGACGGAGCAGTAGGGGCGCCCAAGGGCCGTTCCTGGGCTCCGCCTATCATCGGCCCCCCTCTGTAGTTCCAGGGAAAATGGTACGTCATAGGTGTAGCAGGGAATTCAATTAATACAGAAAAACGAGCCCAGTTGAAGATGTACACCACCACCTACCAACTGAAAGACAACCGCAGCTACAACGTCACCTCCACCCTGATCAGGTGAGAGCCACCACCTCCTGGGGGGAGCATAGGGGGTCCCGGCGGGGGGACCGTCCTGGGTCCGAGAGGCAGACTGATGTCAAAGCCGAGGGGTGACTGAAGCTGAGGTGGACATTCATCCTTTTGCTGGGTACCAGATCCCCCAGCATTTATCCCTTCCGTCGCTCGCTAGCTCAACATTTATCGGTAACTTCAGCGCAGACACATGGACAGTCCTGGGGGAACGAGCCGGAGAGGGCAGGGCTGTGCTAGAGTGGGAGGAGGGTCACTGGATCCAGCCTGGAATCCCACCCAAGGCTTCGTCAAGGGCTTCCAGAGAGGTGGTCTCTAGGCTAGGCCTTGAGGAGGGAGCCAACTCCTTCAGGAAACCATCACATGGGTGCCCTGAGCAGGGGCTGATGAACAGCCCAGAGGGGGGCAGTGGCCACAGGGGCAGGGTCCTCAGACACCAGTACCAAAGGGATCTGGTGATGAGCGGGTCTGGCTGCAGCAGGGAGAGGAAAGAGGGAGGCTGGTCAGTCCCAGGTGGGAGATGGCCAGGGTGGGGGCAGATGAGGACCTAGAGAGGAGAGCCAAGGATTACCGAGCTCCTATGGGTTTCTGACTCTGTCACTTGGGGGATGAGGCTAGAGCATTTGTGGCGCAAGGAACAGAAGAAGGACAGGTTTGGGGAGATCAGATAGGATGCATGTGAGAGGTCAGGGTTGGCCCAAGAGCTAAGGAAGTCCCTGGCATCGAGCAGAGTGGAGCCTTGGAGGGTGAACCCCACAGGAGAGGTTACAGCAGGAAGCCACAAGATAAGAGTTGGGGACAAATCCCTGGGGTGGGGGTGGGGGACCCCGAAGAGGGAAGGACAGTAAGGTGCTGGAAGGAGAGTCAGGTGGCTCAGGACAGAGCAGGCAGGGACCGGCAGGGATGGGTTCAATGGGGAAAAGCCAGACCCATCGGAGCAGGGTGGGCTGTCACTTTTTTTTTTTTTTAAGATTTTATTTATTTATTTGACAGAGACACAGCAAGAGAGGGAACACAAGCAGGGGGAGTGGGAGAAGGAGAGGCAGGCTTCCCGCGGAGCAGGGAGCCCTATGCGGGGCTCGATCCCAGGACCCCGGAATCATGACCTGAGCCGAAGGCAGACGCCCAACCACTGAGCCACCCAGGCGCCCCGGGCTGTCACCTTTTTTAAAAATATATTTTATTTATTTATTAGAGAGAGAGAGTGTGTGTGTGTGCACGCACGCCCGAGCTGGCGCAGGGGCAGAGGGAGAGGGAGAGAGAATCTCAAGCCGATATGCTGAGCACAGAGCCTGCCTCGGGGCTCGATCCCAGGACCCTGAGATCAGGACCTGAGCCAAAATCAAGAGTCAGACACTTAACCGACTGAGCCACCTGGGCGCCGCTGGACGGTCACCCTCTTACCCACCCATCATTTGCTTCCACAGGAACCAGCGCTGCGACCACTGGATCAGAACTTTTGTCCCAAGTTCCCTGCCTGGCCAGTTCACCCTGGGCAACATTAAGCGTGAGTCCTGAGTGGGGCAGATCTCCAGGGGGCATAGACGCCGACCTGTGGGGGCTGGGGAGGAAAGAACTGTTTCCCACACCGGGCCAGGGCGGGCTGACCCCTCACCGGCCACCCTGCAGGTTACGTCGGAGTGCAGAGCTACACCGTGCAGGTGATGACCACCAACTACAACCAGTTTGCCATGGTGTTCTTCAAGAAAGTTTACAAAAACCAGGAGTACTTCAAGATCACCCTCTATGGTGGGTCCTCACCTACCGCCTCTGGGACCCGGCTCCTGCTCACGCTGGGGGAAAAGAGGCCCATCCCACCCAGCCCCCAAGGTCCCCTTTACTCTGAGCCCCTGGGAGGTGGGTGAGGTGTCTTCCTGCAGATCCGTCCCCACCCCCACCCCCGTCACGAGGAAGGGCTCTGAGGCCTCGTTCCCATGTTCAACAATATTTATGGAACATTCGCCTGCCCACTCACTGACCACCTTGACCATAGGGAGGACCAAGCAGCTGCCCACTGCTCTGAAGGAATACTTCACCGGCTTTGCCAAATCCCTGGGCCTCACCGATGACCACATCATCTTCCCTGTCCCCACTGGTAACTGCCAGCGACGGAGAGGAGAAGGGGACATGGGGACTGTCCGGGCCTGATGTTGCCTCACGAGGGAAAGGGGGAGAGGGGAGACTCAGGCCCCTACTGCAGGCACTGGAGCCCCTGGGAGCCACTTTGGGTTCAAGAAGACCCTGACTCACCCAGGGGTCTGCGGGGCACCCAGCAATGTGGGCCCCAAGGATTCCTCCCTGACAGAGAGCCCGGGTCCAAGTTTCCCACCTAGTTGCCTGGCCATGTTCTCCTCTACCCAGGTCTGCTTGTCCTGGGCTCGCACCCATTTTGCCCTGGGGCTTGCTCACCACTGACTTGGGAGGTGCTCAGGTGGCCTGGCCTGGGCAGGTGCCTCCCCAAGGCTGCTGGGGTTGTCAGGACTCAGCAGGGAAACAGGCAGAAGGCCTGGTGCCCAAGTAGGCACGTGGCTGGGCCTTATCTGCCTCCTCTGGAGAATGGGTATCACCCAGCTCTGCTTGTCCTCTGGCTTCTCTCCCCGTCCCCTGCCCCCATCATCCACCCCTCTGCTGCACCATCCCTGAAGGGAACCCCCAGATCTTCTGCGGCTGGCCAGGCTGGGGCCCAGGGCAGCCCAGGGGCTGCACAGGGGCCCTGGAGGTCAGGGATCCCCCCCCACAAATTCCTGCCCATGCTGACCACTCTGTCCCCCACAGACCAGTGCATCGATGATAAGTGAATGAGTATGCGGTGAGTATGGCCCAGGAAGGGGCTGATGGGAGCTAGAGTGCAGTGGGAGGGGGTCCCGGGCCTGCCTTTGTCCCCCCTGCCCAGCACTGCTGCCCTCTTTATTCCTCTGACTCTCTTTTAGGTGTCCCCCGTCTCTCTCCACCCCATCACCCTCATGCTGACCTCTGCCCAGGGCACCGCCCAGCTGTTCCACCGACCGGACACCAGGAGAGAGCCCGGAGACCCTTCTCACCACACAGCCCACCAGCTGCTTCCCAGGCTGCCCTTCTGATGGAACCCCTCCTTGCTTGCTAAATAAACACATGCCCCCAGGTCTTCAGTCTGTGCTCCTTGACCCCTGGGCCCTCAGAGGGAGAAGAGCAAAGGGCGGGCTCCTATTAGCATCACTCCCAGGGACGTGGCCCCCAGAGAGGGATGGAGGCCGCAGAAGCAGAGTCCAGCTCTAGACTGAATACTTGTGGCTCCCCACTCCAGGCCCAGCCCCAGACCAGCAGCAGCCCTCACTGGCCCCCACCTCCTAGCACACTGATGGTGAACTGACACCTACGTTCAGCCCCCTGCAGCAGGGCCAGGGAGCTGGAGGGGCTTGGGGGGGCTGAGGTACTGTCATCCACACTTCACCAGGACCCTGTAGATCCTGGAAGACTGCGGCCAGGGCAAGAGGGGTACACAGTGGGTGGGACAGAAGCATGTCCAGCTTGAGGCTGTGCCAGGCACAGAGGGCCACCGGAGGTGGTCCCCTTTCTCTCTGCCAACCCCCCTGTGGGTCCACTGGTGGGTGGCAGCATCCACATTGACCCCATTCCGAGTTCTGTCCCTCACCCACGTCTCTCCTCTGTGATGACCTCTGGATCACCAGGGGGGCAGGGCCAGGGAAGGCAAAGAGGAGAACATGCTGCCAGGAATCAGATTCCAGAAGACTTGAGGGCTCCAGGCCTATACCCACCGCTTGGCTGGGCCTGTGTGTGGGGCCTGACCAGCCCCTGTCCACCCCTCTGTGTCTGCATCACACACCTTGAACTGTATCACACATCGTTGTACACTTGAACTCCCTCCCTGGCCTCTTCTCCCCTTGCAAGATCAGAGGCCAGAGGGGACGAGGTTCTGAAGAAACCCAGGCTTATCCACCCCAGAGACTTGCACACTTACCCTCAGGTGGCGGGGGGGGGGGGGTCGTTGGGAGAGGGGGGGATAGTGGGAAGATACTGGAGCTCTGAGCAGTCCCTAGCGTCAGCCCTGAGGGGGCAGGACAGGCCTGCGACCCAGGGCCACCAGATAGGCTGCAGCCTTAGAAGTCTGGGTCAGGGGGCGCCTGGGTGGCTCAGTTGGTTAATCGGCTGCCTTTGACTCAGGTCATGATCCCAGATTCCTGGGATGAGCCCCGCATAGAGCCCCGCACAGAGCCCTGCATAGAGCCCCATATCTGGGCTCTCTGCTCAGTGGGGAGTCTGCTTCTCCCCCTCCCTCTGTGTTCAATCTCCCTCTCAAAAAAAAAAAAAAAAAAAAAAAAGGTGGTCTGGGTCAGGTTCCAGGAGGAGATCAGCTTGCTGCAACGTGGGCTGAGGGAAGAAGGATGGAGGCTCTGCCCAAGCCCAGAAAGACCCACACTGAGAAGGGCACCCAAGGGACTGTGGGCCAGGGCATCACTAGCTGGCTGAGGGGGTGGGAAGCTGCACCCAGCATGCCTGGTGCTTGGGCTCCACCTCGGACAACAGAGACAGTTTCTTTGCTTTGGCGCAAGCCATGCAGCTTCCTGGCACCACCTGGGCCTGCCAGGTCTTCCAGGAGCAAACTCTTAGGCCACAAATGGGCTTTGTGTTTCTTCCCAGGGTCACTGGGTTTTATGTTTCCTATTGCTGCTATAATAAATTAGCACACACTGGCATCTTAAGAAAACACACATTTATTCTTTTACAGTTCTGAAGGGCAAAATTCTGAAGTCACTTTTACTAGCTAAAATCACTTTCCGGCGTCTGCCTTCGGCTCTGGTCATGATCCCAGGGTCCTGGGATCGAGTTCCGCATCAGGCTCCCTGCTCAGTGGGGAGTCTGCTTCTCCCTCTGTCTGCTGCTCCCCCTGCTTGTGTGCACTCTCTCTCTTTCTCTGGCAAATAAATAAATAAAATCTTTAAAAATAAAATAAAATCACTTTCACTAACTAAAATCAAAATGTCAGCATGGCTGTGCTTCCTCCAGAGGCTCTTGGGGAGAATCCCCGTCTTTGCCTTGGGGTTCTTTCTTCCTTCTTGAAAGAGAGCAGTGTGGCATCTCCAAATCTCTCTCTCTCTGCTGAGGTCCTCACATGGCTTCCTCTCTTGTTTGCAGTCAAATTTCCCTTGGCCTTCCTCTTTATAGGGACACTTATGATTACATTTAGGGCCCACGTGGATAATCCAAGGTAATCTCCCCATCTCAAAATACTTCCTGTAATCACATCTGCTCGGGCCCTTTTTCCAAATAAGGTACTGTTCTCAGGTTCCAAAGATTAGGATCCAGATATCTTTAGGGGCAGACCACTACACTGGGTTTGGAGAAGGAATCATGGCAGAGCTAATGAGATGGGGAGAGAGAGGGGGACAAGGACTCCAGAGGCAGGACAGCACTAAGGCATATTCCCTTCCCCCCGTCAGGGCTGGATGGAGTAGGTGGCTGTTTTGTCCTGTGGTCTGGTTTATGGGCCCTGACCCCTGGAGTGAGGTGGGCAGAGGAAGAGGCCCTCTCTGGGACCACAGCATTTCACCAACTAGGAGCGTGCCTGGGGGCAGCTGCAGGCTCCACCCACGAGCATTTGCATCCACCTGCTGCGTCCCTGTGGTATGCAGATCTGTGCATGCCAAGGCTTGTTTCTGAGAACCTACGTGACCTTCTGAGGGTTTGTTTGCCCCCCCTCCTGTGCCTTGGAGTCTGCATGTTTCTCCTCTGGTCTAGACGAAGAGTCAGATCCTATTGATCTCATGTGTGATTTCACATTTAAGAGAAAAACATGTGTCTGTGTTTTTGTTCGGGTGTCTCGTGCTTAAAGGGATTTGGATTATGTCAGCACATCCACACAGGTGACCTGTGTTTCTGCCGTGTCTCTGCAGATCTGGGGTTCACACTCGGGTACGGGTGTTTCTATGCCAGTCAGGGCTCATGGGGCTTTGCTTTCTTGGTTGGTGAGATGCTGCGCTCCTATGGAGGGCCTCTAACCCGTCAGCAGAAGGTGGATGCACAGGCCTCTTTCTTTCTCAGCCCTGCTCACTGGTTCAATGCAGGCCTCACCTCCATTCCACCCGATTCACGGAGGAGAAGGCAGGGCTGCCAATATGCAAGGCAGTGGTGGCTCTGATTGCAGGCTGTGGACTCCACCTTCCTCAGGTGAGATGGTGGGATAGTTTTGGGGACACAGACGATCCCTCCCCATTGTCATCATTTGGGGCATACCCAGGTCCGCCATTGCCGGCTCGGCCCCGAGGGCCATGTCACGGTAGAATGCAGCGACCATGGTGGAAGGTGGGGGCGCCCGATGGAACGCGGGCCTGTTCGGGATATACCCAGGTCTGACCCCGATCCCAAGGATGTCCTGCCCACAGGAAGCACCCGTGTGAGACCAGCCCAGGGCTGCTGCAGCCATGGGGCTCCCTGGCAGCTACAGCTACGGGACTCCCAGCGAGTGAGCCTAACTCAGCCAGACTCCTGGCCAGGATGATACTTCTGGGTCCAGCTCAGGAGCGACAGTGGCTTGGCGGGTGACTTTGGACAGGCCTCCCTTTCCCAGCTGGTAGAAAGGGTGGGGGATGATGGCAGCTAGACCAACCTAATCCTGAAGCCACACGCAGCACTGTGCCACCCGGACCGTGACTCTCACTGAGGCTGTGAACCTAAATCTTCCGAAGCCATGGGGAGCCTTAGAGAAAACGCGTTTCAGATTTCGCCCACGCGGAGGCGCCGGCTCGCCGACCCGCAGGTCCCCAGCGGCAGGACGGGCGGAGTGGAGGCGCCAGGCAGCTCCCGTCCCTCCGCGGGGCTCGCGAGTCCCGGCTGAGCGCCCAGGCCTCCGCCACCGGGGCTTCTGGAGGGCCAGCCGCGGATGACCCCGCCCGGCGGCCGGGAGGGGGCGGGGCTAGGGGCGGGGCGCGACTTCAGGCAGGGAGTGGGCGGGACTCGGGCCGTGGGGGCGGAGTCTGACGGCGGGCGGGGACGGAGCTCTGGCGGTGGGGCGGGGAGGGGGCGGAGCTCGCGCCGCGGGGTTCCGGCCTTGGGGGCGGGGCCCCGGCCGCCCTGCCGCGTTCCGCCGCGGCGTCCCACTCTTCCGGCCTCGCGTTCCACCCGGCGCCTCCACCTTCCGCCCGGCGCCGGCTGTCGGCGCGAGGGTCGCTGGGTTCTACCGTCGTGCCGCCTTCGCGGCGCCCGAGCCCGCAATGTCGGGCCCCAACGGTGACCTGGGCGTGCCGGTGGAGGCGGGCGCGGAAGGCGAGGACGACGGCTTCGGGGAAGCAGGTGACCCAGGGAGGCTGCTGAAGCGCCCTTTGCTTTCTTAGGGCTGCCCTCCTGGGAAGGGGAAGCGGGGCCGGGCTGGGGGCTTGGAAGGGACCGCAGAGCCCTCCCACCCCTCGCCGCTGGGTGCGTTGCGGCTGCAGGCGCCGGCCGGGGATTCAGGGCGAGCACCTGCGAGTGGGTCCCTGGAAACCGCAGCATCGGAGAGCTGCGGGCAACCGGCCCCGTTTTGCAGATGGGGAAACTGAGGCCGCTTCGGGATCACTCGCCTTTTGGCATTTGCTGCAGCCATTTCCTGCAGCCCCTGTGGAGCCGGGGGCTCCTGAGGGGGTGGGGCGGGTGGGCCGTCTGGGTTTAGCAGGAGGGGCTGTCTGGGTGGGCGAACCCGCCCTGCTGAGTCAGCATCTCCTGCCACCTTTGCTGGTGTGACCCGGAGCCTTGGCGAATGTGACCTGCTTACAGAGCAGCCTGTTGCCTGCACAACCCTGCGGGGGGTTGGGGGTGGAGAGAGAACCATCAGCTCCCCTCTCACCTTGGGGAGCCTCAGTTTCCATATCTGTAAAATAAGAATAATGATTAGTGTTCCTGCATTGAGATGTGTCAGGGTTAAATGAAGAAAAACAAATGGAAATATTTAATAGGTTCAAAGCATGCAGGTGTTCGGTGAGTGGTTATTCTTCTCTTCGGTGTAATAAAGATTGATTTCTCAAGTCGGAGGGCAGGACTTAGTAAATGTGAGATAAGTATGGAGTCTGCTTTTTGTTTTGTTCCGGTAACAGCTTTATTGAGCTATAATTCACATACTATACAATGTATCCATTTAAATTGTACATGTC